CACGCAGCCCCTCTGCAGCCCGGGTCCACCTGGAAGGTGCATTTGCTTTAGGGACCACCCCTGACTCCACCAGTAAGGGGACCTCGAGGAACCCCAGCAGCATCTACAGCTGCAAAATGGGGCCCCCAAGGAGGTCTGTGTTGTCCTGAAGGAGCAGTGGGAGCTGAGCGGTGACCGGCCATTAGCCAGGATTTATGTGCATCACTTCCAGGCTGGCGGCCAGCCAGCTTCCCTGGATGAGAATGGAAGGCCCGCTGCGCCAGGCCTCCCGCTTGAGCCTGACCGAGCTGAGCAGAGGCTGCACCAGACAGCTCTGTCGAATCCATTCTCTGCGTCTGCTTCCTGAGGCCTCCTCTGGGGGTCCTCCTGGAAAGGGCAGGAGCTGCTCCCCCAGCTGTGAGACCCCACAGTGTCTGCCCAGGAGCCCGGAACCCACACAAAGACCCCAGCTTGACCACAAAGCCTGCGAGTCCTTTGCCTCCAATCACCCACCCCTGACCGCCCCCAGCCAGGCTCCCTAAGTGTCGGTGGGTCCCGGCCAGCACTCCGGTTCTCTCATGCGGCCTGTGCCTCTTGGTACACCTCCTTCCCAAAGGTCCCTCCGAGTCAGCCTGGAAGGGAGGCGTCTTTTCCAAAGGGCTTCAATGAGCACAGACCACAGCCTGTCCTCAGCCCCGGCCCCGAAGCTCATGGCAGCACCTGGTCTTTGAATGGCTGCGGGCACCCCAGTCTTCCCACCTGCCCTCCCCCTTCCCCAAGGCAGCCTGCCCTTCTCCCCTCTCCTCTCACAGGATCCACCTGGGGAGGAGGAGGAAGATGCAGGGAGAGGAAGCCGCCCCTCCTCCTAAGGTAGACGCCCAGGAGCCCAGAGTCAGAGCCAGAGCAGACTCAGCCACATCTCCCCTTCTCAGGGCTTGGGGCTGCCGTGGAGCACATGGGGCCGAATGTTAGTGTCCTAGGCCTGAGCCTGGGAGAGCCCTATGGTTGGGGGGGGGGCGAATCGGGGAGGGGGGTCACCCTGTGCTGATCTTGCCCCAGAAGCAGGACTCGAGTGTCAGAGTGTCATGACCTAAACACCCTGTCCTCCTCCACGCACGGGCCCCTGGCCCTGGTTAGTGGACCATTAACTGCAAAGGCCATTGATCCCCAGGGACGAGGACTGTGGGGACCCCACCAGGGGCCTCAGAGCATCTTCCTCCCGAGGGAAGGAAGACGCCTGTGTGAGAGCACACACAAACACGCAAGACACACTCTGGTCTGCAGCTCCAGCGGAGCCCCTGGGCAAAGGTGAGTTTCTCCAGCCCCCTCTGCTATCAGGTGTGGATGCCGGTGTCGCTGGCTGCCCGCTCTCTCTGTACCTGTCCCTCCGGGAAGGGCTCATGTCCTGGCCCATGGTGTGTTCTCCACCCCAGCCCGTCCTTGTCAAGGTCCTGGGGCTCCCTCTTGTAACCGTGATTGCCCTGATCTGTCTCATCTTCTGAAGAAGAAAAGTGAAAATGTTGCCGTGGCTTCTTGTTTCAACTAAAAATATACCTGTCGGAGAGAAAAATTAGCAATAAAAATGTTTAATACCTTGGTGCGTGAGCGGAGCTGTCTCCCGCGGCGACTTCCCCGCATCACTGGGCTGCGCTGCGGGGCCCTCCCTCCCCAAGAAGGGCCTCGGAGGGTGGAAACATGCTGGTGAGTTCTCGGGGACTGGAGTGGAGCTCGGGGTTTGGAAGAGGTTCCAGGTCTACCCGCCCGGCTGCCAGGGCCGTGGGAAGGCTGAGCCCCCCCCATTTGACCTGGAGATTCCAAATGTCGTCCGAGGTCAGGAAGCTTCAGAGGTGCCCTCACCGTCCGAGCCCGTGAGCAGACACTGAGCATCCCCTAAGGCAGCGGTTCTCAACCTGTGGGTCGAGACCTCTTTGGGGGTCAAATGACCCTTTCACAGGGGTCGCCTAAGACCATCGGAAAACACATATATAATTACATATTGTTTTTGTGATTAATCACTATGCTTTCATTATGTTCAATTTGTAACAATGAAAATACATCCTGCATATCAGATATTTACATTACGATTCATAACAGTAGCAACATTACAGTTATGAAGTAGCAACGAAAATAATTTTATGGTTGGGGGTCACCACAGCATGAGGAACTGTATTAAAGGGTCGCGGCATGAGGAAGGTTGAGAACCGCTGCCCTAAGGTGTGGAGACCCTTCCAGTCTAGACACTCCAGCGCCCTGTGCGAGGCGAGGCAGTGGTTCTCAGAATGCTGGTGACAAAAGCCCGACCAGCACATCCGTCCCCCGAGTCATTCCAGAAACGGAAGATCTACCCGTGCTCAGGTGTGATCCAAGTGGAAGCTGAAATCATTTCTGCTTTAGGAATTTTTGCTTTGGAAGCATGTTCCAGAATTTTTCATTTCTACTTTTTGTTGTTGTTGTTGTTAATTACATAGACTCACTACTTCTATCACTGGGCGCTACATGCTCTGGGGTTTATGGAATATGGCGGCAGGTGCACAATTCCATCATTTAATCTTAGTGTCGAGGAAGACGGGGTTGCCTAGCAGCCAGGCAGGGGCCAGAGGTGTGAGTCCCCTCTGAAGCATCTCTGAAGAGGGCTTGCCCCATCTTTGCTTGAATACCCGGGGAATGAGTTCACTACCTCACTACCTCACAAGGTAATGCATTCCATCTGCAGGCGTTCATCCTTATCTTAAGTTTCTCTGTAACTTCCTTTTCCAGAAAGGAGCTTAGTTATGGAAAGGAAGACAGCTATGTTAACCAGAAATGACACAGAGGCACATATCAAGGGCTCACATGAGGTCTAAACTCCCCCACCTCCACGCCAGTGTTCTTTTTTAAAAATATTTTTATTGGTTTCAGAGAGGAAGGGAGAGGAATAGAGAGATACAAACATCAATAACAGAAACATCAATGATCAGCTGCCTCCTGCACGCCCCCTACTGGGGATCGAGCCCACAACCGGGGCATGTGCCCTTGACTGGTATCGAACCCGGGACCCTTCAGTTCGCAGGCCGATGCTCCATCCACTGAACCAAACTGGCCAGGGCCACCCCAGCATTCCGAGTGGCACTGTTGGTAGCTAACCTTGGAGGTAAGGGCTCTCCTCATCTGGGCCATTGAGCAGAGAGGGGGGGCTGGTGGCCCTGTCCTACCTGCCCAGCCCCCACGGAGACCCTGGGACTGGCGCTGAGGGAGGGGCCCTCCCAGAGCTGTCTGACTCCCGGCCTCAGGGGAATTGGACGACTTGGGACACCTCAGCAGGCAAATGGAAAGCTT